TCTTAGGCTTACTCCCGGTGAATCAAAATGCTATCAATCATGGCATTTTGATTCACCGAGAGTAAGCCTAAGAGCTGAAGTAGGAGTAAGAAATAAAATGGATTTATTTCCTTACTCCTACTCCTTACTCCAGCTTACTCCATGTATTGTAGACCAGCCTTAATGCGTCGTCTACAATGTATGAAGTAAGCCTGGAGTAAGGAGTAGAAGTGAAGAAATAAATCAATTTTATTTCTTACTTCTACTTCAGCTCTTACGCTTACTCTCGGCGAATCCAGAGGCCATCGGCCAGTGTTACAAATATTTTAAAAATTATGCCAATATATTAGCTTCCTTACACCAAAAGCTGAAAGTTATGGTTCTCTCTTACTCATTACTCCAAGTTTACTCCACGTATTGTAGACGACGCTTAAGAAATTGACTAACCACAGTCGCGTATTCTCATACTTGACCGTGATTGGCCAATTTCTTAAAGCTTAGGGCTTAAATTATCTATTGTAGACTGGGACTAACCCCTGTCCACAATCTTGCTTTAAGTAAGCTGTAAACTTTAAGCCGCAAGAAATTAACCAATCACAGGTGAGAGTGAGGGTAATAAATGCCCGTGATTGGTTCGTTTCTTACGGCTTGAGGCTTACAGCTTACTTAAAGCAAGATTGTGGACCAGGGGTTACTCCTACTCTTACTTTTTACGCCAGACTTGCTGCATCTACTGTAGACAATACTTCGGACATATGTACGTATCTACCATGTAAAAGAGCTGCGCAATAGTATATTAGTGATACATGTGCGGGAAATTGGCTATTGGCCACGAGTAGCGGGTGGGCGCACGAGCCGAAGGCCAATAGCCAATCTCCCGCACATGTATCACATACTATTTTATATTATAAGTGCACGGAAAAGTACCTCTTTTTTTGACAGTTACGTGTAAAAACTTTGAGGCTAACCTGTCATCTGTCGAAGACGGCGTGTGGAAGAGAGATCGGCAATTGTGCTGGGAGATAAACAAAAACAGCGCTAAAGTGTGCGGTAATAATTTTACCGCACGGCTTTTTCCGCACAGTTGCACGCCATGTTGCGTGCAAACTGTATTGTGTCGGCAAATGTCTATTTTGGGCACGAAAAACTGTCAAGAAAGAGGCACTTTTCCGTGCACGTGTCATATAAACGTCATTAACGATATCGATAATTGTCGGTAACCGCGTGTACGATATCGCGCCCCTGATGTCCATTTTTATCAACGTACTACAGATCAATTTTAATTTTGGTCTCACTTACTTTTCACCCTTTCCTAGTTCGAAGAATTAGAAAAAGATGCAAAAGTAAGTTAAGCCGAGATTTGCTGGGCAGTGACAGAATTGTGGACACTGATCGCACTTAAGGCAGTTCTTAAGGCCAATGTCCACGATGCTAGAACTTGGACCAAGTTCTAGCATCGTGGATACAGGCCTTTACCCCAGCTATGCTAGTAAAAATGAGACTTGATCACTAAAGTTCAATAGACCATGAATTCTTTTATATTGGATTCCAGAACAGATTTTTAAACACCGTTGCTTCTCTTAGAATATTAAAAACCGATAAAATGAGACAAGAGTTACAGAAAATAAAATAGTATTCTGAATTGCGTGGTGTTAGCAGAACGTTGATCGTGGTAACATCGTATTTCATCGTGAAACGCCTTTATCAATCTGTCTCCAAATAGTGGAAATTATTGTATTATACAGGGTGTTCCACGAGGAAGGGTCAATACTCTGGGAGGTGATAGTATCGGTCATTTTAAGCAAAAATGTTCATATGAACATATGCCCCATTCCCCACTGTTTCCGAGATAGAGCTACTTGAATGTCACGTGTATTTACTTTTTTTCTGCACATTTCACCCTTCGTCCAGCCTCATAAACGTCTGCGGGAATTTACTCTTATACGTCTGTTGACTGTTGTGCCGATAACATTCTAGAAATGATCAAAATGCCTCGCATATTCGAATAAACGTCGAATATGCAGATATGCTGTACGTTTACGGTTTCTGTGACGGTAGCTGCTGTTGAAGGACACCGTCGACGCTTTCCTACACTCGGACTTCCGAATCGTAAAGCGTTTTCCCAGGTTTTCGATGCATTACGTGAAAGTGCCGTGGAACGCTTCCCAGTGTTCACGTTTTATCTGAACGAGGACGTCAACGAAATGTGCTCTGTCTCGGAAACAGTGGGGAACGGGGCGTATATTCGTATGAACATGTTCGCTTAAAATGACCGATACTATCACCTTCCAGAATATTGACCTCTCCTCCCGGAACACCCTGTGTATTGGACCGGTTGAGAGATTGGATTAGATTGAAGACGAAATACGCAATCTTCGTTCGAGAAATAAACTATAGGAGCGCAGGGAATTGTAAATTATTTCTCAATTTGGCAGAATAATGCTGCGCCACGTTTTATCCAATGTACGTGCGAGTTATCAGTTCCCAGGGGCACGCTCGTGACGTAGCTCCTCATCTTCGTGGTCGCGTCGGTATCTGCTTCGTCGCGTCGCGTCGGCGAGATGTACACAGGGCACTCGTATGCATCGTCAACGACTCTTCTTTCCCTGCTAAATGTAAGACGTATCGGTGGCATGTCGTGCCAGAACACATTCGTCAAGCTGTCGATTAATACACGCCTCTGTGCGTCCCACCGGGCGCCGGATAAGTGTAACCCGTGAATGTAATAAGTGTCCGCGTCCCCCTCGTCGCACGTAGAATCGCCGTTTGTCACCTGAAGATCCTGCGCAACGTGCTCGGCGGATACGCCGTGACGTCGCGAGAACGCGAGGAGAGCCGCGGATAGAAATCTCTTGCTGCGAGACAGCTCGTCTAAGTGGATCGCGCGAGGTAGATCGCTGTCGCGCCAAAGTCGCACGAAGTCTACGCGCTTCAAGAGCAAGCCGACGTAGCTCGATAGACGTCTGGTTGCGACGCCGACCTCGGCCAGCCTCCAGACGCACGGGACTTCGTTATTGCATATTTCTCTCGACAGATCTTCCAGAGACTCGGTCAAAATGGTCTCGCCGTTCAATGCCGATTTTAAGCCGTTGAACGATTCTACGATTATCGACAAGGTCTTGTTGAGCAATTCAGCCTCGTGGATGAGAATCGCGTCTAGCGGCTCGCTCGAGGTCGTAGGACGCCTGTCCCGTATCTCGTTGATGTTAAACAGCGCGGGCAATCTACCGCTGATCTCGTCGATCGCCCGCAGTGCCCGATCTTGCGTGGCTTCACGATCGGACACTGTGATTTGGTCCAGGCGAGATATCGATTCTAGGAATTCCCTGACAACAGCTGTGTCCTTTATAACAAGAGCGTTCTCGTCGCAGGCGAAAGCCTCCGCCGATGCGTCCAGTTGCATACTGCTAATGTGCACGATGATATCGCGATACTCGCATCTTTGCGGTACAGAGTGCTCCGCGCAGTTGGAGAACGAATGCCCGGCGTTCGCGACGACGCGGGCGTCGCAGAAGGTGCTTAGCAGGTGCCGCAGACACCTTCGATCGAGGCGATCCGCGATTCTCCCACCGTAGTTACACTCCCCGATCAGATAAAGCAGCGTGTCGAACGGCACGTCCTCGGTCTCGTTAATTAAACTCTGCAGCTGTCCGATGGACACTTCGAAGTCCGTGTGGTCGAAATCGTGCGGGACGCTCCAGCCTTGCGGCCCAAAGTGCCTCCTTTCTCTGACGATTCCGTGGAAGAAGCAGAGCCCGTACAGGAGCTTGGAGAACTCCTTGTCTCTCCCGGGACACCCCTCGAAGAATCGCTTGCTCCTCACGGGCTCGGACCGGTACGCTCTCAGCAGGCTCTGCTTCAGCCGAAGCGGATCGTCGTACGCGATCTTCACGCTGCTCTGCAGGATGCTGATTGGAAGGTCCGGAGTGGAACAGCTGGAGAGCCACAGTCGAAAGTCCAAAGACGTACCGGGCAGATGCAGGTCCTCGCAGATTCGCTCGAGTCGCGGTATCCACGCCGCGGCGTGATGGCAGTTTTGCAAAAATATCCATCCCCCTTCAATCCGTGCCCGTTCCACGAGGCTCTCGGCGTGGCTCTGCTGCCCGTCACCCATGGACAGAGAGACGAATTTCGAGGAGTATCCTCTCGCACTCGCGTACGCCGAGACGAGCGACAGGGGCGAGGCGTAGCTCGGTAGAATGAATATAATCGGCGTGAGGCAGCTGGATTCCGCGTAGGACTCGGATATCTGAAGGCGAGGATGGGAATTGAACACGTCCTCCATGGTGTCCTCTATCAGCCGCATTATCTCCACGGCAATCTTGTCGTACCTTACGATTTTGATGATCATCAGTTTCTGAAATCGAGTCAGTCTGCCGGCCCACGGACTCGGTACCAAGTGGCCCTGAAACGGTATCGCGTTGCAATATTTCTCCCAGGTCGCGCCGTTGGCACGAAAGTCACTTGCAAGCTCGCGCAAATTGGGCACCGCGCTGCTCAGTCTGCAAATTTGTCTCCACTTGTCCATCGGTAGCCAGTCCGGCGCTGGTTCCGGGGCCGCGTCGCGATCTTCCGAGTCTGAAGAGACGAAGTGCTTCACTTCCTCCTGCGTGGTCTGTCGAGCGTCTATCAAAACTCTCGCGCACAGCAAAAAGGAATATAGAAGCTTGTGCTCTTCAAAGAGCGATCTGCAGACGCTGGAGTGAAGGTTCCTCATGAACGAAGACTTAAGGAATTGTAGTCGTTTTTCGAGAACGACGCTCCTGCTCGAAGTCTCGATCGAGGTAATGTACAACTGAATAAACCAGGAGAATGAAAATCGGTACATGTGGTTCAAGTTGGACAGGGCGGTCAGAGTGCAGAATAAACCCGCGCAGTGATCGGCGAACTGCAGGTACGCGTCTCTGAACTTGTCAATGTCCTCCGCCATTGCTCCGGCTGCCTCTTGTTTCTTCATGATGTCCACGGTGAGATTCTTGGAAGAATCCAAGATCTGTATCGCCTTCTCGTCCTCCAGGATATTCGTGGTGGTCGACGAGAGGGTGCTCAAGATGTTGTCCTCTTGCTGCTGAAGGACTTTCTTGTTAGTGGCGTCTTGAACGCGGAGCGCTTCGAATTTCTCCTGGAGCTCCGGTTTCTCTTTCGAGACAACGATGTCCAGAAGTTTGTCCCGAAGAGCCCCATCGGGCATCGAGAAGTCGATTATCGTTAGTCTCGCGAAAACGTCTACCGTGTAGTTTGGATTCGACAATCTCGTGGTGATGTAAAATCGAAAATTTGGTGAATACCTCACGGATTTAGCTCCGATATCGATATACCAGTCTTCATCTTTGTAAATATTCTTAGACAGGATTGGTTCCAGTGCAATTTCGAGTTTCTCTCCGACATTTTCCAGCAGAACCGGGTTACCGGCTTCGATATTTCGTTCGATGACCGGCATACAATCGGAGTCCGTCAGTTTGATGACCTTCAAGTCATTTTTCTTTTCCATTTCCTTGATCCATTGATTTATCTGATTCTGTGAATCGATAAAAAGACACCATTGTTCCGAGTGATTCAAAATGATGGCGTTCTCGGTTGCGAAGCGATTTTTCGACAGGCCACAGAGCTGCCACTGATTGATCTCGATTTCCACACCAAGAACACTTACAAAGTTATACGTTTTAGTGTATAATATCTTGGAGTCCACCATAAATTCTTTCCACTTGGTCAACATTTCGTCACGTAAGGAAGTGTTGTAGGACGCCATATAAGCCACTATTCCGCACGAGAATAGCATGTCGCCCACGAGGCTGTCGTAATTCATTTGAAGATTATGAGCGCACTGCATCCAGTGGCTCTTCTCGCCCCCCAGACTGGCGATCAGCTTCTCCGCCTTGACCAGCTTGGCGGTGCACGTCGCCACCTCCATCTCCAGGTTCAGCTTCTTCTGCAGCGTTTGCCGCAGACTGTCGTTCAGCGCCGCCAGTTTCGCGTTCAAGGCGGCCAGGGTCTGTCGTTTCTCGTTTAAAAACGCCTCGGCCTCGTCGCACTCCGTTTGTGCCTCCGCCAATTTCTTCTTCTTAGGCGCGACCACCTTCGCTATCTCGTCGTAGGACACCATGGCGCGGACCCATTTGCAGAGACCCTCGGCGGCGCTGGACGCTTTCGCGACTATGAGAGGCATGAAACTGTTGTCCGTCATGTATGTCTTCTTGATGATCTGCATCACCGCGGGCGCTATGTCGTCCTTGTCGTAGTCCTTCAGGTTCTGCAGGAAGTTCATGTCGCCCAGAATGCGCTTGCTCGGGCCCCAATAGTCCGTGAATTTCTTCCCGGTGGCCGGGTCGATGCTGCGATCCGGAGGGACGCCCAGCATCACGCAAACGGCGGCCATCACCAGCTTGATGGTGTCGGGGGGATTTTTCATCGCCTTCACCAGCGTGATGTCGGTCGGCTTCAACGTGTTCAGCGCGATCACCGCGTCCTCCAGGATCGGTATCGCTACGGCGAGATCGGCCTCACATTCGGTCTTCAGGGTGCCCGCGATCTCCGCCTTCTTATTCGCGACCTCCTCTTCCTGCTTCACGAGAATCGTCGCTCGCTCCACGGTAATATTTTCAGTTTCCACTTCTTTCATAGTCTTCACGGTCTGTTGAGCGGACAGTTCCAATTGGGGTTTCAAGATCGTCAGAGTGGCCTTCATCTGCTCGACTTGCTCGGCCGCCAGTTCCAACTTTTCCAATCCCGCCATGTATCTGTTCCGCGTCGCGACGATTTCTTCCTGCTTCTTCGACGTCAGTCGCGTGTGTAGCTTGAGCATGTGCAGAAAGGCCGAGGACGTCACGTGAATGCTCCTACCGAACGTTTCGCGATACTTCAAACTCATTTCCTTTGCACTGTTGTGGAACCTCACACAGATCCTCGCTGCGTTAGCTCTCACTTCTTCCCGCGCGTCAACATGTCCCATGTGCTTCACGGCGATCTCTAAGAGCGCCTGATCGGGCCAAACCTGATAGCAATTCACCGTGCAGTGTTTCGCTAAGTTAGGATACGAGCACAAATATGTTCTGAACGTGGCGCTGGTGGGACTGAGGCAGAGCACCAGGTGTAATCTGTTCTTGCACTGATCTGTGAAATAGGCCATGACCGAACGCGCACTGAGTTCTGCGTTTCGGTCACCATCCTGGGCATACAGTCGCGTCATCTCTATTATATTCTGTTTGTCTTCGGTAGAGAACAAGTCAGGTAGCTCCCCGGTGCTCAACAGACAGCTGATGTCGTTTAAGAACTCGCCCTTTATCTGCCTCTCGTTCATAAAGTACGTAACGTCCTTCCGCAACGTCCCGCATTCCCGTAGGACTCTTCTCAATTCATTCTTCCACGCGTTCACGTCGTAGCAAGACTCGATGGTGGTTTCAAACAAGGTTTGCTGCTGCATAAAGGCGGCCAGAGCCGTCGTGGACCTCCTGCCGGAACCCACAGTGGATATCATTAACATGTTTCCGCCCGGGGTGCCCAGGATCCTGGAAACTTTGATCAGAGATTCCAGCAAGTAACGACACACGACGACGTCGATTTTCCTTTTAAAGCTGGCGTTGTACTCGTCCAGGTAAGCGAGAACTCTGTTCCTCAGAGCCTCCGGGGAACCGATTTCCTCGTACCGCCTACACTTGCCGCTCTTCTCCGTGTCCATGAAATTCCCGAACGTCAGATCGTTCAAGCTGTCTTTGGTGATCTGATTGTCGAATTTGGGCAGGTGATCGAAGGCGATCTCGAAAGAGTCTTTGAAGTTGCTCTTCACCGCGTCGCGGATTCTCGAAAAGAGCCACTCCTTGTCACTCCCGTCCAGCATACGATCGCTGAACACGCGTAAGATCTCGTGCACCCACAGCCGAATGAACGTTATCTTCGTCTCCACCGATTCCTTCTGGATCAGACCGCATCCATTCATCACTCTGGCTATATCCCTCATATCGAAATAGTAGTACAGCTTGCCGGGCACTGGCCGCAACGTCTTTATTACGGACTTGTAAACGTCAATCGTCGCGTTCACCATGCTGGTCACGCTCCCCGTGACGTCTGCTGCGAACAAGTTCTTTTTTAAGTTAGCAAGCAGCACATTAAAATGTGTTCTGAATATGTTATCCGCCGTAGGAGCGGGGATCGCGTAAGTGTTGAAGTGTCTCAAAACTCGAGGAGGTACGCTTCCGTTGAGTTTTCGCGCAGTGACCGCGAGCGCGAACATAATGTCCTGTACGAACACCTTATTTAGTTCACTTGCGTCGTAACAGTAATCGTAGCTGAGAAGTTGACGCAAGAGCTCAAATACGGCCCGCGCCTCCGATTTTCGCACGGCAGCTCCGTTCACGTCATCCACGAAGTTCACGCAAAATTGATTTTTCCCCGGCCCGTAGGAGGCTCGACGTAATTTGTCTAATTTGGAGAGCAATAACTTCTGCGTTCTGGTCACCGTGACCATCGAAGTGAAACTGTAAAAGTTGGCGAGGCAATTTTCTGGCAGCCTGTTCCTCAGGAGATCGTGCATGACACTCGTCTTCCCGACGGCAACGTCGCCGTGCAAGAGGAAAGGCTTTCGATATTTAATGTGCTTCAAAAGCACATGATTGTACTTCATACTGTTGACACTTGGAATGTAAATTTGATTCGGGTTGCATATCTCGGGGATTTTTTCGTTTTTCAACAGATCGCCCCAGTACCGCCAGTTTCCGATGCCTTTAAAGATGTAGAAGTTATCTTGGATTAAACCCTCGTTAGGCAGTGTTACGTCGAAATGTTTAACTACGTCTGGTTTCGGATACCTTTTTTCCGTGCCATTCCAGAGTGACACGCAGAAAGCGTTGAATCTAGTTTGCGAATCCTCGGTCAAGCTTCCACCCAATCCCCAAGCAACAGCTGAGATCAAAGCAGCCTGTGCCCATATGACAAAGTGATTGTCCTTCCCCTTATCGTCACACGCTGCCGCATCCTCACAGGCGTCTCTTAACAATATTTCAAATAAATTCACGGTTGACATAACGAGATGTAATTCCTGATCTATCAATATATCGCCGTTTTCCCGCAAATAATTGAGACATGGGTCTACCGCCCAATCGAACAGAGCGCATAGTATTTCGTTATATCCGTCGTAAAACGGTTTGGCGATGTGAGACAGCACGTACGGTCTCCAGCCAATGGAACGCGTATCGATATAGATTATTCCGCATCGCGATACTATGCTGGGTGAAATTTCCGTCGCGCTCATCGTCTCGAAGACAATGGACACTGATTCCGTCGTGGGGAATCGTTCTCCAGATGTCAAGTATAGCATTTTATTCTCGTCGAGAATTGTATACACGTTTTCTATCCACGCGCCGCTCAAATCTCCATCAAGCACCAGCCATTTGCGGTCCGTCGAGGTGTCTTCTGCAAAGCGACGAAGTATAGCGGTACACAAACCGTCCTTCCAGATCCCGGACTTGCCGCAGAGATGTCCAAAGAGCGCGTCGCTCTCCGCCACTCCTGGCACGACCGTTTCGAATTTCACCGTGGCGCCAATTTTACTTCCTTGCTCGTGTAACAGCGACAACGCCTCGGCAAGCGTGTGTAAAATTTGCGTCTTTCCACCCAAGGGATTACTAATGAGTACAAGACCGCGACGAACGTACATTAGTTCAACGATCTGCACAGCTTTCAACTTGAAGACTGTATGCAACGTCAGGTGTCTCTTTGCGCACACGCTCTCCAGGGCGTTTAGAATCGCCGAACAATCGAGAGGAAGCACGACGGTCTTAGGAAAGACGTCCCGCATGATGCTCTGGAAAATCGGTATATCGGTGTTACATAACTGCGGGATACTTATCTGTATCATTGAACGCAGCAGCAGGGTGTATTCTTCGCTTTCGTCCGCGATATTTCGCTTCATGTTAATTGCAGTCGCGACGACAGTCTTCAGCGACGACGCACTGAAGTCGTAATGGCGTTCCTCTGCCAGGTGTTCGGATAATAATCTATAACTGGCAGCTAGCTTCGCCGCCAGACTTCTCGCGTGAAGAAATCCCCCGGCGAAGAGTTCGACCTCGGCGATCTTGTCAATGTCCGGCGCCGCCATTGTTACGGGACGAAAGAGGACCTTCAAGTTATCCGGCAGATCAGCGCGTCCCGACTGCTCCGGGTTGATGTTAACGCATATGTTTCCGGTGGCGTTCAAGTTCAGGCTGCAACCTTCGAAGCTTACGACCTTCAAGTTAGACGATACCGCTTGCTTCATCTGCGTGAGGCTCTGAGCAATGGCCGACAGCAATTCCAGCTTTAACCTGTTGAAGCTCTCGAAGCAAATCCACGCTCCGCAAGAGAGCATTCCTTTAAATGTCCGTATCACGCAGTCGTAAGGGACGCTGTTGCTGCAATTGACGACATAGAATGGCTTCGCGATAGCTTCCGTCAGGCCTTTGATCGTTTCCGTTTTCCCAGTACTTGCTGGACCTACGAGACTACTGTACAAGTGATAGCGATAAGCTTGCAATATGGTACGAAAGCATCTATCAGTTAAGGGAGTGTTAACAATATTCCGGCGATAATAGTTATATTCGTATCCGTATTTAATTGTCGCGTCGAATGCTGATACTTGGACAATTTTGTCGTTACAATAATATCTCAATTGCGCGACCCACTCAAAGTCCGTCCGCTTAACAGTATTTCTCTCCAGTAGCAGCTTTACGATCTCTTTATGAGCCAACATGATAACGACCAGTGACGTCAACAGATTCCTACGCCTTCGCGTTAAATCGCTTTTTAACTCGTCAGTTATCGAATTTATCCCGTTGGTATATGTTGCGAATAAAGAGTTCAACATGGCGATATTTAGTGGCGTAAGACACTTTTCTACCGAGCGAGTCCAGCGAAGTTGCAGACTGCAAACGACTGCCATGCTTGGGAAATTGTCAGCGGGAGCGAACGTTGAGTTTCCATCGCCCAGAGGATGACATTGCAGAATGTTTTTGTGAATTGCGTCTTTCATCTCCTTTTCGAGCTGAATTAACCATTGCTCTTCGCGCTCGGTGTCAGTGGATAAGGATATGCTACTATTTAGATATAAGATCTCCCCGTAATGCCCGACGATGCCTCGAATGCAGTTGGATTTATTAAATTTCAATCGTTCCACGCCAGCGAAACATTTCTTTACGAGCTGATGCCCTGCATCCATCGATTCGAACAATATTTTCTGAACCTCTGAATCCTCGAGGAAGAAGAATCTCGTGAACGAGAGTCTTTTAACATCCAAGTAATTTTTTACACCTCTGATCGCTCTCTCCAACTTCTCATTGGCTTCATTCAAGATCTGTGGCAAATCTGACGATCTTCTTATTTCACGAAAGCTCGGATTTTCCGCGAATCTGTTATTAATGTTCAGCAAAACGTTCGTCCCTTCTAAATACAACGAAGTTTCTTGACTCAAGCGCGCTTCGATTTTCGGATAAGAAAATATCGGCTCTAAATAGAGTTTACGGTGTTGCACTCGCGTCCACTGATCGAGGATTTCTCGGATCCTCGCGAGAACAGCGAAAAAGTCAGCTAGGTCTGACAGTATTGGCTTCACGAAATGCGACGCTCTCATCTCCTCGATTCTGACGAGGTGTTCGCTAAGAAGAATTTCGATGTCGTTCGCGTGCTTAAAGGATACCTCACCGGATTCTACGTCGGTCGACATCTCAAACGATACCGGCTCCCACTCCTTAGTCATCTCGGCCAGTTCCCGCTGAAGACGAAGCTCCTTGTTGGCGCCCAAGCTTATGGCCTTGTACCTGTCGATGTTGTCCATCAGGTTCATGTCGATCATTTTCCTCAGGGTCGTTCCCGCGTTCGGCGTAAGATCGAAGTCGCATATCGCGGACATCTCCGTCCAGTGGCGCGCATTCAAAGCCGGATTGCACATGCAAACCGCGAGCGGCACGTAAACCTTAAACTCTTTAACGTTATTTAGCGCCTGCCAGCACAGTTTCAGCGGTGCGGGCTGCTGCATCGGGTCGGGATCGTCGGCGATGCCGGCAAACTTGTACGACTTGTTCGCCGTCGCGTCCATCTTGATGCGCGACTTCATCGTCTTGCCCATGTCCGTGATTTCGTCCAAGTAAATCGCGGTCTTCTTCGCGATAACGGTGGCGTCCAGGCATTCAAATGGACCGTTCAGCCACACGGAGTTGTCCCTTCGCCACTGACGGATGGTGAATATTAGCTTGTAGAACGGCATGATCGTTTCCTTCAGCTCGATTATCTTCGGGAACTCCGTTTCGGGGAATCTGAAGAGCCTCTCCTCTGAATTAATTACTTGCATCTCGTCGTCTATACGCTTGTACTTTTTGTTCAGATCCTTATAGTGCTCCAAGTATTCCCCGACCTTGCTCACGTCGTCCATGTCGTCTAGGATGATAAGCTGCGGGAAGGTCGCGTCGACCTCCGAGTTTAACGCGTTTATCCTCCGTTGAAGATCCTCCTCCAGCTCGCTCTTCATAGCTTCGCACAGCGTATTGTTCTGCGCAAACACCGGCTGGATGTCGTGCAGCCAATTGATGGTGGCCCTGTTTAAGTCGACGTGCTCGTCAGTCAGTACGGTAATCTCCAGCAGTTTGCTCAGCATGTAGATCGATTCTCGTATCTTCCGCTCCTGTTCCTTCATCAGTACCTTCGAAGCTTGCGACATACGTTCGCTCAATTGTATCAGGGAACTCGCGTCCCTCGGGATGTCAAGCGCCGTGGATCTCAGTTCCTCGAAGTCCGAGCAGACCGAACGATTGAAGTCCTGATGATATTCCACGAGCTTCGCCGTGAGGACGTTTATAACGTCGCAGCAGATCCGCCTCAGGGATTCCCTGGCACCGCTCTGCTCCAACTTTCCCACGTTGTAATACAAATTGGAGAGCATAGAGTTCGTTTTGCTCAGATACCCGTTGTACCTGCATATGTGTTCGAAGTGAGCGTCAAAATCCGGTTGTTCGGAGGTCAAAGCTAGTATCCGATTCTTGGCGCTCGACGCGCATATATCGCTGAACTCTACGTAGATGAACGCCACGTGCTCGTTCATAGGTCGGAACAGTGCATCTAGTATCGCCTGTAAATTACGGTGAGACTTCTCGACGAACCAGTCGGGGAGCGCCACTTTTATGTACCTTTCCCTGGCTTTGACGTTCAGCCACTCCTCCAAGGGCATCAGATCTTGCGCGATACCTCCGATGTTCCGAATGATATCGTGATACGTCGAGAAGACCGCCTCTATGTCTGGCTTTGTTAGAAGCTGATCACTCTCGCATACCAGCTGAAATTCGATTTGAGGGCAGAAGCGACCGTCCCTCATGGTGTCTATTACGTGATCGATCGATCTCATCATTACATTGAGAACCTGCTGGACGAATACATTTGTGAGGCATCGCATAAATTGGTACAGGCGTTTCGCAGAGATGCCCCTGAACAGTTTCGACCGCTGCACGGCTTTAAATGTCTCGGTGTAAAATTGATTGGTGATCACCGAAGAGCCTCTCTTGATATCTTTAAGGATTGTATCTTGAAAGCAGCACAGCGTCAGCATTCCGAGTCCGTGGTAGCGTCTGAAGTCACAAATTACCGCGGGTAGAAGACGATGCGCCGTGTTCATGACATGTCTGATTATCGGATAGGAGAGAAAGTACCTCTTGGCGAACAAACTGCGACGCTGCAGAAATATTTGGCGATCGTACGTTTGATCTTTTTCAATCACACGTCGCTTCGAGCCGGCAGGAACGTTGCACTCCTCGCGAGCGACGAGTTCCCGTCTGTACATCTCGCAGGACAGTATGGATTTCAGTACGAAGTCTTTCATTCTTTCAATATACATATCCTTTACCTCGTCCAGCACTGAGTTTATGAAGCAGGAATGTTTCCGTCGGTCTGCACGAGGTATCAAGTCCAATATGTTTCTTCTCCATTCTGCGGAAAATTCGGGAACGTAAATGTCCCTTATGTAATCTTTCAATCGGATTCGATCTGGCCGAATGGAATTTGGATACAGAGACACCGCGACAGTTGACTCCACAGTTGCATCCCATTCCATGTTCGCAAACGTTGCGTTACCGTTAGACACGCCGTTTGCCGCTCCGCCGAAATTTTTCAGCGATTTCTTCGCAATAATTTTACAAGGTACTGTTAACAACGTTAAACATCTACCTGGCCTGCGATTATAGATAAATAGTAAGCACGTTTAAAACACAATTATGAATTATTATTATTCAGCGGCTTCTTCTGTGTAGTGCCAAGCTTACAGAACTAAGTTTCTTGGATACCGCACAGTGTTTTATCAATATAGCGAGCCTATATCGCACGCGTCAAGCAGAACTCTACCAAATGGTACAAGTGGATGAACTCGACAAGAATGACAAAGTTTTGAAAGACTTTAAAAAATTTTTTTTTAATTAATCTTATGCAATCGAATGCCTTTCTGCTATGAATTCTTATAAAAACAATATCTTTTGTATCCAAAACAGAGCTCGGATCTGATGGCATAAAAGTGAATTCTCTTTGAGCTTTTAAAAGTCTTTTAGAATTAGAAATGGAGGGAGGGGGGGGAGAGAGAGAGAGAGAGAGAGAGAGAGAGAGAGAGAGAGAGAGAGAGAGAGAGAGAGGGAGGGAGGAAGGGAGGAATTAAATTCATTATTCGTGAATTCATTAAAAAAATCTTTTTGGATTTTCTTCTCTGCTACCTGAGTGAATAACGTAATTTTTATGTTAAAATTGAAATTTAGATTTTCGAGACAATGAAATGGTCAAATTGATTCATTATTGTAAAGCGAGCAGTGTTACATTATTTCAATTTTGCCAAAAAATATGAAGTCAAACATGGTATTTGTATAGGCTTGCATTTTATATTTTAATCATATGTGAATATATACATATAATCAATTATTATCAAAAATAATTGTAACAACAATAATAATATTAAATTATTATTATTATTAATATTAGTTATATTCATTATTGCTTTATTATACTACTATTATTAATAATATTTTTAATTATTACATTATAATAATAATAATTCTGTATTGTACTGGATTTACTATAAATTATTATTCAATCGCCTACGTTGCTTTTGATGTTAAAAGTATGTCATGAACAGCTGATTGGAAACATCCGCCATCTACTGGAAACTCGATCAGCTACAAGCTATCGTCCATGTCGGATGTTTACGTTGAATCCGATCGATCCGCTCCGTTTCACGTGTGTTCACGCTTTTCCATGATCGGTTGTAATAAGAGGTTATAAATATGAGTAATATTTACATACAGGAACCGCCTACAACGGGCAAGGTAAGTGCAAATTGTTTTATAAGTAAAAAAAAACATGCGAGCAAAGACAGCCATAAGCTGATTCATCAAAGTGTTGTGAGATAAAAAGCTGAATTTGATAACGTGAGACTATAATCCTCCTTATGGTTTGTTATATCTATTATTATTATATTACATACGAAGCAGTTGAATAAGCGACACGGCGTCCAGTTTTCATTTACTTTCCTGCCCCGATAAATACAGGTGGTAATGAAGACAACGGTTGGCGACATAGATCTGGAGCTGTGGACGAAGGAAGCACCCAAGGCTTGCCGAAATTTTATACAGCTCTGCTTGGAGGGCTATTATGACGGCACCATATTCCACAGAATCGTAAAAGGCTTCATAGCGCAGGGTGGGGATCCGACAGGAACGGGAGAAGGCGGCGAGAGCGTATACGGCTATCCCTTTAAGGTACAACGATTGAGAGGTTCAGTTGGCCAAGTTTCTTGCTTACAATCTTAGTTTAGCAATTGTTATTTACACACGAGCGATAGCTTCTAATCTCTAATTTCTAAGATTCAAAGAACAGTCACAAAAGCGTGACTTTCGGAAACATCATTTGAAAGTTTCTTGCGACAAATATTACCACATGCCTCAGTGGTCGGATTGGCGAGACGCCTGTCTAGAGAGTAGGAGGGTCCCAGGTTGAAACCCTGGCTGAGGTAATATTGTTCGCGATAAATTTTCCGTGTTGAAACACTGGCCGGTTAATGTCGACCAAAAAGCTTGATTATCGTTATCTATTACTGGCAACTTAAAGAGATTTCTGTATAACTAATTGAAGTTTTTATACAGTCGCGGGCTGGATCTCGGCGCTAAGTAATGTTTCTGCATACATCTTTTTCTCCAGCACGGCAAACTACGTTGATGAATTTCGCTCTTGTAGCACAGCGTATTATTTATTCGCAGGATGAATTTCACACAAGATTACGGTTTTGTCGGAGGGGATTGCTCGCTATGGCCAACGCTGGCAAAGATGACAATGGTTCTCAGTTCTTTTTCACGCTTAGCGCGACACCCGAGTTACAAAATAAGCATACCATCTTTGGTAAAGTCACTGGTGAAACTGTTTACAATATGCTCAAGTTGGAGGATGCGCTTGTGGATGAGGTGAATGTGTAGAACATTTGTGTATGCGTTATTTTCATATAAAAAGATTAATGTGCAATTTCATACTGAAACGTGTTTAATTTTAGAACGACAGACCTCAATATCCGCAAAAAATCTTGAAAACGGAGGTTTTAAATAATCCATTTCATGATATCGTCCCGAGAGTATCTGAAAAGAAGGAAGACAGCAGAGAGAGAAAGAAGAATAAGACGACTGGTGTAAAGTAAGATGAATGTGTACCTGTTTTAAATAATAATGCCCATCTTTTTTTTTTAATACATTTGCAAATATGTTAGGAATTTCAAACTTCTGTCGTTCGGGGAAGAAGCTGAGGAAGATGAAGAGGAATCGTCAGTTTTAAACAAACAGTATAGCGGTAAGGGAAAATCAGCGCACGATTGTTTATCTGATCCGAAGTTAAGCTCACAATCTGTGGTCGAATCTGCTGAACCACCAAGTAAAAAGATCAAAGAGGATCGCAGCAGTGATTGGGAAAGCGATGACGAAACACGAACTCCAGAAGAATTGGCTGCTTCAAGAAAAGAAAAGGAGTAAGTCGTGCACGAAAATAAAATACTATTTGATAAAAGAGTTGTTGTAATATTATGTGTTGTGATAACAGAGCTCTGAAAGAAAGAATCAAGAATAAGTTAAAGGATTCCAAGAAGATTTCTCAACCAAAACCGACAATCGAGAACGACGAAACGAAGGATGAGAATATAAACGAAAATGAGGAAATCGAAGAATATTATTTTGGAAAAGATCGAGATGAAGAACGCAAGAGAAAGGCGTACGTAATATTATTTCATTATACAGATTTTAAGTTATACGCGAAATAAATTTGTACCTTTAGAAAAAATTTTAAGTATTTATATCGTTTAAAATCAATTTGCAGCGAAGCAATCAGGAAAGAGATACGCGATCTAAAGCGCAGCGTACAAAATGAGAAGAAAGCGAAGGAGATGGATCGTAAGCAGCAAACTGAGAAGGAAGAGAATAAGTCTGAAATAATGAAAGAGTACATGGAGACACAGGAAAAATATAAAAAGGCTAAGGAAAAATTGCCTAAGAAGGGCAAAACGCGGGAGGATTTCACGATGGAACTGTTCAAGCAATTTAAGAGTAAACTTCAAACCGCCAAGGAACATACGAAGGATAATACCACGAGTTCTGATAAGAAGACATCGGAAGATACCGAGGACGATGATCCGCAAGATGAATCTTGGTTAACACACGCTTTGCACTGCGAGGAGAAGGTTCCGGTGCTTGCCAAGGACGCCAGCACGAAGAACGACGATTGGTTTGAAATCTACGATCCTCGAAATCCATTGAATAAACGACGCCGGGGAGAGAAGTCCCACAAGTCTAAAGATGACAAAGATGGCAAGAGTTTTTCCCGCCATAAAAATAATCCATAATTATTATAATATAATTAGATGTAAATTAAGAATCGTTTTTAATTGATTAAATCCTTAGTGCACGAAGAATAAGTGTATATAGAAACTAAAAATTATGTATAAATTATATTTCGATAAAATATACTTCTCGAATTCTTCTCGAAATCTCTGTCAGTGATCTTTTTCGATGTCAGCGAAATATTAAAAATCGCTATTTTGTTCCCATTTGTGATTTGCAATTAAATAATATTGTTATCTAAGTACGTTTGCTTTTTGCGAGCTGTATTTTACATTTAGTCTAGTCTATTTGCTCGGTGTCAATAGCTGCTGAATATACGCGTGAGAGAAAAAGAGAGAGAGAGAGAGAGAGAGAGAGAGGGGGGGGGGGCTAACGTTTAAGATTCCGAAATTTATTTCGAAAAGCGATAGATTGTTTCAGCAGCTATGCATCATTACGCTTTACACGCGAAAATAATGGTATTACGTGCACGGTAAATCCTGTGTAACTAGACCGCCAATCGAGATTTCTTTAATTCGTGTGTATTAAAGCGCGATAAGACGTTGATACAAAGCGCAGCGTGTTCGTACGCAGATTCAGTCGATCTGTCGGCGCCGACCGATAAGCATCGGGCGATTTTGTTTGATTTCGCGACAACAGACCGAACGCAATTACCGTATTTCGTCGCGACGAGAGCACATCTTTTGGACAAACGAGGATCTTACGTGAAAGGCGGCGCTTCAGGGACACTCTTTTCTTTCCCATCGAGAAAGGCGTAAATTAGTATTGAATGTAGACTATAACGCGCGAAGTTGAGAAGCAACTTCGGCAAAATTGAAATTTACTGCGTGCGTTAATTCAGCGTTAAATCCCTGACGTGGTGTTACAAGGGCGTGAGCCCTTAACATTGTTGCAAGTGATTTGCTGTTATGTAACGCGATCGAGCGCGAAAAGTAAAAAAATAATTGGTGCATCGTGTGCGCCTCTTGGAGGAGTTCCATTTGTGCGGGACCATCCCGGGGTGAAAAGCGCGGCTGGGAAACCTCCTGTGTCTTGAGCGAGCAGGTCTATGCCGCGAACTTTCAAGGAAGATGTCAACGACACCTTTGAGATTAGGTATTTATCCCTCGGTGGCGATTTCCGCCAATGATTTATCGTTTCTCCCTACAGCACGCTCTGCGTTATCAGTACGAATGATAGTGCATCGTGGAAACAATGTGGAGGCGATCGCCACTGCGTATAAATGCGTAACGCGTCGGCTCTGTTGATTTTCCGATGCACTTTGAACGACGGTGATATTTTTTATTTGCACTTTGCAGAAGTGCCCTGTAACTGTGCTCTTGTTTTTTTAGCGGCAAAGCGCACGAAATACACGCGTTTCTTTCTTCGTTTAATTTAAACATAAAGCACATATTCTTCGTTTAATTGAAAAATACGAACGGAAAGAAACGTTGGAGCACTCTCTAAAATTATTAAGTGAAACAATGAAGAATTGGGAATATTGTGCGGCTTCTTCTTTTTTTTTTTAATATACGAAGCGCCTTTCGCAGCGCACGTCGCGTTCAGTAATCATCAGTCGCACTGTATGGCAATGAGAGAAAACGTTGCCTTTAAAAAGACGGCACATTCACTCTGTAATCGCGCATTCTTCTTTCATGTAGTTCATTTAATCGCAATAGTACAGATGCGCGTGTGCCGCCATCGTGAGACACAGACTGGTTTATATTTTTAAGTCTCTCGACTTGGCTGGCCACCGCAATTTTAAGCAGCACGTGTCCCACGCACGGCTGAGTCTTTGTTTCCAGAAACGTAAGGCGCGCATCGCGATACAAGACCACAATGTGGCTATATTTCTTTCTATAAATGTGCTCTCAGATGAAGCGGGAACGCGCGACCATCTCGACGAGAAGGAAATTTTGCGTGACCTTTTAGCACGTTTACAATAATAAATTCGTCTGAAACGGAAAGGCAGATTAATCGGAGGAAGTTCCCTATTAAGAGATAAGCTCCTAATATGAGATAGCAGGGTTTTTGGCTAAATCAATAGGCGTCGTTAATTTATTGCCCTTGGAGTGAAATCTGTCTGGTGGAAAATTTATTGTTGGATCGCGTAATTGTTGTGAATAAAGATCTGTGATTAAATTTTGATGTGGAAAACCTACTATCTCATATTAGAAGTCTATCTTGTAATAGAGGACTTTCCTCTACTGTTCGGATTATTTCACTCGTAATATATAAAATTTACGCGATCAAAATGAGACCGTTTTCAATTAGTCAATTGATGAAACGCGAGCTCCCATAAATCGCACAGTTCTCGATAATGGAAGGATTACTGTTACGTCGTAAACGGTTTAATTTTCACGATGCTTTGTTTGCCCAAGCCGTCTGGGTAAACAATGATCTTCATATCCAACAACGTTGTTCCGTAAAAGAGAGACTTATCAATGCGATATGTGATAAGTTATCGTGGAGAGCATCATTATAGAATGATAGAGCGGGTCATCGTTTCATCCAAGTATAAAGGTGATATACTAATGACCTCTTGATCATCAAATCTGGCATCGTGCGAGATTCTCGCGAACGTCCGCTCGCGCTCTCCCACGAGTTCGCTGCGTATAATCTGCGTTGCTCTTACTTCCACGTGTTTTCCTCCGAGCACAGCTCGTCGTGGCGATTCCCCGACTTTCTAACGACTCACCCGATATTACGAAATGTTATAAAGAAATTGTGCAACGAGCAGTGATAACGCAATTCTGACTAATTGATGCGCGCGAATTACTCTCCGAGAGAGAGAGAGAGAGAGAGAGATATATAAAATTTGTAATCGTTTCTCGTAAATAAATAGAATGTTATTTTTATATTTCAACGTACGAGGGAACCGCATAACATCAGATATAATTATATCGCTTCGCGTTTGCGAAAACACGTACGTCTTTGACGTAGAAATTCGAGGATCGTCCTCGCTCTAAACTGGGTTTTGCTAGATAAGATTGATTTACAGCATTATCGAATACGATTAGTAATGCGCAGACAGCGTTTTATTACGAGCTATTAAAGCCTTGCGATAAGGTGTTCTGGGAATTTAAAAATCTGTGTGTCGAAGTAAAACACGGAGCGCATACTTCAACGTTACGCCTTAACGAAGAAGCTTTAGAACGCTGGAAAAAAATTTTCACTACCGTAACTAATCATGGTTTGCTAAAAATATTTTGCTGCCATAATATTTTTTAAAAATATTTAGCTACCACAAATAAATATTAGCTGTCCACATTTTACAAGTAAAATTTAGTTGCCACATGCAGGTTTTAGGTAAGGCAGCTACATTTTTCTGTCTATGAAGATTCCATGGAAATTTCCGTTTGCCGTTTAAATTTATACATTTGTAGACGAGGGCGTATCTTGTGACCTATCGTTACAGAGATAATAAACGATAAGAAACTATATCTCCTACATATGCCACACTTCATATTGAGGGGCTCGATACGTTTAATTAGGTCTGCAATTTGTAATCATCAGTCTCGAGATCGAGCGTCAATAGTTGCCACCTAAGGAAAACTACAAGTGTACCACAGTGTGCAATATTCTCATATCTTTATAATTTTATCTCTGTAATATCTACCCACCTTTTACGTTGGATTTTGCACATGAAATATTTTGCAAGGAAGAAGATAACTTTGAGAAAATACCGCATTTTTGTAGTGTTAAAAATATGTTTTTAAGTTTTCAGCTTTCCCCTTGAAGAAACTAGATTGGGTGGCAAACTGGTTTCAATTAATTTAGACATACAAACTAATTAAAGCGATAAAGTAGGAAGGAAGGTGTTCAGTGATATTACAAGTTATCGAGTAGATTCCTGATGTTATAATGCGAGAAACAAAATTGATAATAGAAGCTGACTGAATCTCATTTCTCAAATTGGTATTAGGAAGATTGAGGAGGTTTATATGTGTTTTATATTGGAAATTTTTTTACAGAGGATGGTATTCGCCCACGAGATTGGCAACCGCGAAAATCAAGTTATAAAGTACCTTTAAGACTGATGCGACTATGTTTGCTGGGAATGCTTCTGCCGTTCGTACTCATTGTTGGGCCGCTGTATCTGCGATACCGCGTGTACTCCGAGCAGCTATATGCTTTAGCAATATCAGATCAGAGACTGATCGATCGCAAAGTGTCTACCGTTTGGTGCCAAGTAAGGCATTTCGCTATTAATATTTTATTCCCTCTTCTTCTTAAAATGCCCTAAATTTGTAATTGAGTCTAAAAAATATAATGTAATTAGGTTTTTACACGTTACACTTGCTTCCTCTTTTTCTCCTTTTTTTGGTCTTTCCTTCAACGCCCGGTTTTTTATTTTCTGGTTAACTGTTAACCAGAAGTTAGTCGACTCTCCATCTTTTTCTATATTTATTATCTTAAGAAGTGACAGGAAAAACCAGACCTAAGAAGTTAAAGCTGTCGAAGAATGAAATTGAATCGAAATGGTAAATCATTGTTGTCCGTAGAGTCAAGTGATCAAAGTTAACGCCACGTTCAACGCGTACCTGATGAGCAACGAGCCAGTAGTCGAAAAAGAAGCGAAACCGATTTCAATGACGAGACACCTCATCATGGAGGACGATATGAAGGAATATTGGGGATTTTATCTACTACATGGCAGTAGCGTCACTGTTTCAGCTTGTGTAAGGTAGAATTATAGAAATGGGGGCTCGTTAACACGCAAATCTCAAGAGGAAGAAACAAATTCTTTTCACCTGTATGCAATAAATGTTGCTTAGAAAATCTCCCCATTTCTTAACTCAAGTTTATCTTAATCCATTCAAAGTAACATTGGACTTTAATTATACCGTTACTAAGATACGCTCCATTATTTTTAGATGGCCGGGTGCTTCTTTAACAATAATTCGGGGCTTCAAGAATCTACACGAATGCGCCTTTATCGGAGATGACAGCAGCGAGGAACTCGAGGAGCTCGTTGAAGTCGCTAAAGAAGAAGGTCTTCTTAATCTAAAAAGAACTACGGAGGTGCATTATCTTTCTCAAAAATAGATTTTTTTCTTCTAAAGATGTGCGAAACATTTTTATTCATGCCATATTCTTCGTTACAGACAGCGCGTCTTAGTAATGTACCGGATAAAATGAGACGAGCAGATCAGGACGTACATTTTTATCACGAGGACAGGGCTCTTCGTTTGAACGCTTCTAAATCGGCTGATCATCAGCTGGGCAGCCACGAGTTGGACGCTGAAACGATGCGGAATATACTCACCCAGCTTTTGGCCAAGACCGATCATACAAAGAAGAAGCAGAGAGAAAATCCGCATCATCATTACGAAGCGGTCTTCAAGGATATCAGTAATATCGACAAACCAGCGACAAATTATCCTGGAAACTTACAGGACCAACTTCGCAAAGAGCTGATAAACCAATTTGAATCCGATAATAAAGAAATGTCAAAAAATAGTGCAAAGTGCGTTATTTCTCTCATTAATAATGCTGAACTTAATGACCATGTCTTAATAAATATTGTGACCCTTTTCTCTTTTATTAAAACAACTGAAAATTAATGAACATATTATTTTAAACATATTAATTAAATCTGCTTTTGTGGATTGTAAATAAGTTTCGTGTCTAGTTAATCTCCCTTTATCTTTGCCATTGAAAACTCTCAATTGTTTCAGATTCACGCCATTGTCTTCGAAAACACCAGTTTCTCCCCAAGAGGAGCAATACAATCACGGAGAATATGAGACCCAACGAAATTCCACCATTTCTTCTAACCTTCGTCCGAATTCTACAGTATCCAGTAAGGACACGGAGTCCGGTACAGTACGAGAAGCCGTGAAAGAGGAAGAAGAGTTGAAAACCGAACAGGCAAACTTTGAGGAGGTGTTTCAAGATGTTCTGCGAAAAATCAATTCCTTAGGTGACCGTGGTAAACAAATGTTGCATAAATTGATGGATACAATTGACGCGCAAGCCGGCGCCAAAGGTGCTGCGTTGAAACAATTGGTAAACGATGCGATGAATGACGAGAAATTGTCGCGCGAAGGTAAACGGAGAAGAAGAAGAGATTTAGTCCTTTCGTCGCCGCTTTATCAGGAGTTAACAGAGGAGGACGAAGATGGTGACGCGGCGGTGGAAGAGGTACAGGTTTTATTCCGCTTATGTTTTATTGATATAATGTGTAATTTGATTTTGCAATTATAATTACTCTGCATATCTAGAAATAACTTGAGGTATTTCTAGCTATTATTATTGTTGAAAGCGTTGTTTATTATTCATTGGGAAGTTTAACTCTAAAAGTGGCTGAAGAATCTTCGTCATTCGAAAATAATGCGCGAGAATATTAATACGCAAAGCAACATTATCTTTATCACTGATAATGTATTATCTATTAAAACGATAACAGATTTTAATTCACCGTGTATTTACTTGTCGTAATGAATAGAAAGGTACTTTTCAGTTGTAGTCGTAAAAATTATAAATTGGCACGAACATAGTTGCTTCTGCTTAAATCAATGGATCTTTACGTCGTGTAGTTACCAGATTGTTTACTGGCGGATAAATCATACAATGGTATTTGGAACAATCTTATCCACTGCCTTTATAGGTTTTATCAGACTCGCTGGCATAATTTTATGTTTATAAGAAAGCAGATGTCTTTATGACTCGCATTTACAATAATCCTTCGACAGTCAAGCTGTAGATTTTTGTGATATACAAGTGGCTTTCAATGTTAAGCCACGCGCTAGAATCGCCCACTGCGAAAGTGTTAAAATGTTTAAACTTATGTCTCTTCCACAGGGTATGTTGCATCCAGATGGTATTGCAGAGGATCGAGGTACCGTGAATGAGACAACTTTGAACGATAGAAGTAACTCCGAGTTCTGGAGCTCATTTAGCAGTTCCGAAGAACGGCTGCTGGAATGTAAAGGCCTTATCCTAAATTTACCTTTGACCCCGCATCGTTTTTGTACGCCCAAACACGAAAGTGATCATTCTACCGCTTCCTTCGCTAATACGGTGACATATAGGTAAGTGAACAAATTATTACCTGCGTTAATTTTCTTTTTATAGAAATAAGGACGGATATATATTTTTTTGTTAATTTAGTTTCCTCGGTCGCTCTTAATTGTCGACTTTAGTTAAGAACTTTTTACTTTATGAATCTTTTTCTAATAATCTAAATCAAATAAATTTTTTTTCAAAATGTAGACACAACTTTTTACGTTAATTGTATACATATGTAATACATATAGGCATTTTTTTATGATATATATTTTGTATTATTTGATTGTAGAGTACCTCTAAATGGATATTATTTCTTTGTGTTTAACTCGGAAAATGAGGTTCAACCTAATTATGTGAGGGTAAAATTTGATCTTTTAAAGACGGTTTACAACACTTCGAATCCCGTGCACGCATGTAAAAACAGCACGACAGAATGCTCGTTGCCGTTTAAAATATTCAGCAATGAAAGAACAGTGTTAGAACTGCCATTAAGTGGAAATGATTCCCAATGGAATGAAGAATATATTGGTGTGTCTGAATGCGAGCCAAGAACGATGGTTTATACTATTTGTGTAATCATGGTGCCTTTGCTTATCCTTTGCTTCGCTTTTCACTAGCAGATTGCGTTATCAACAGTATTTACATTTTCGCTACCTAATCATGGTTTGCTAAAAATATTTTGCTGCCATAACTATAAGTTTCTAAACCACAGCGAATGGTTTGCTGTCGCACCTAGCACAATAGGCACAGTATTCAGCAAGTAGCAAAAATATTTAGCCATTACAACTAAATATTAACTGTTCATATTTTACAACTGACATTTAGTTGTCACATGCAGGTTTCAGCTACGGCAGCTACATTTTTCTTTCCATATTTCTATTGACATAATTGATAACATTGTTATTGCACCAAAGCCATTTGAAAAAGGAAGGATACTAATGACAATAATAATAATTTAATAATAATAATTTAGTACTTTTTACTACAACTGTGTGAATTATTATAATAATCGGAAATACTAATACCGCCTTTATTCGTTGTGATAAAAGTAAAAGAAAGAAAAGTTAAAAACAAGTTTTAACAACGAATCTAGTAAACGTTTGAAAGTGAAATATAAAAAATATATATGTATATTAATAATAAAAGAATGAATATTTTCTGTGGGAAGTGACAAAACTGTGTAACGCATGCAATTAAATATTGATTTTCTAATTTCTTGAGAATTTTACTTTTCATCTTTTAAACTAAAATTTATGTACGGTTAAATATATCGATTTATTTACTGACATAATCTTACAAAAACTTTTAATAATTAATGCAATATTTTGACTAATTTTATTTATATATTTTTGACATGTGTTTGAATCCTTCCTTAATTTAGATACGTAACGTATAAAAGTATTTTTAATTTATCAACTAATTGCCTATTTATAAAACTTGGCTCGACATAGTTATATAATATTCACGTGAAAAACGGTTTTGTTAAAGTGTTAAAAACTTTAAAATTAGTGTTAAAGTGTTGTTGTTAAAGTGTTAAAAACAGATGTAAAAATAATTATATTGAACGCTTAAATCGGTCGCTAGAATGTCAAAATTTTATACAGCATTATCATTATGCTTAAATATCGTATCTAATTGTTTTAGTGGTGCGATATAATTATTTTTAAATCTGTATCTAGCTCAATTTAGATATACTTCAGCAAGACCATTCTTTTCGTGTATGAATTCTACGTGACATGCTGTGATTGTGTGTTTTTAATACAAACTCATGTACAGATTTTCACTCAATGTTTTTTTCTATATGTATTTATAGTAAAGCTATAGTTTGTAAAGATGTGCGGGTTTCTGGAATTAGTTTGACAAAACAAAATAAGCTTCTATTCTTTTATATAAGAGACTAATTAATGTTGTCGCGACACGCCTAGTTAATTCTACGTATTTGAAAATCTGTAGAATTATCCAAATTTATCGAATAATTAATTGATTAAAATTTGGATGTGATTTGAGTCATATTTTTGCAGATACTCGCATATCTAAAGCCTGGTTTCATCAACGTCGATTAATTTTCATCTTATCTCAACTCCTTCTTTGTCTCTTTCTAAGGAGGCTATTAGAAAGAATAAGTTAAGCTGACGTTAAACTTAAGCGATGCTGAAACCGAGCCTAAAAAATTTTATAGTATTTTACATAGTCATCAGAAATTATTGAATTCTACTGTAAACATAGGCGATTGCACAAAATCATTTTCAAACTGACGAAAGAAGCTGTGATCGCAACTCGGTAGTTCTACGACTCAATTGATTCAATTGACAAACCGCTGAATTATATGTATGTATCGAAGGCTGAAAATTTTAGATTGCAGTTAATCTCGAGATACTATAATTAGAAGACGAAGCTCTAATTGTGAAGAGTAGATTTAAAAGTTATACGTTTATTAGATCTACTTGATCTATATTTTTTTAAGTACTGTGAGTATACGTCGCGTAATCGCTACTGGCTGTTGCACAAATGTTCTAGATTATTTGCGATTCATACGCGTGCTTTGAGTGATACAAGATCGTGATACTGAATGAGATATCGCATCTAATTCAACCTTCTACCATGAAGTTAATTGTTAAGGCTAATGTCCGATAAATTAAATTGTAATACATTGTTACAATTAATTGTAAGTGCACGGTAAAATTAGTAGTTGAATTCTGTAAATAAAACGATCTATTAAAGAATCGCATGTAAGTATCAAACTTACCTTATCAACTCAAATTTATCCTCATGTATCCAGAAGTTAATCAGCGATAACACAAGTACGAAATGATAAGTGTGATAGGTATACAGTTATAAATATATATTTATACGTATTGAAGATGCATAACAATGCTGCAATTACTCGCTTATCAGCCACTGTGATTTATGTAAACATATTTGTGATAAATTTTAAATCCTATTTTTTCGTGGATGCGGTGAAATGTCTTGTGTCACAAAGTGTCGTAATATCCGCTTTGCGCGAATCTTACCTCGCGTCTCGTATCTCAAAATAATTTTCCCGATGTGGAGACAATCCGCAACGACGTAACATTGCGTAACCCTCAAGGGCATTAATATTCGTTCTAAATGTTTTATGTATACGCGCGTTTTTCGATGATCGATATGTCAGCGGGCGCGAGTGCCACACGTGGAAAACAAACACTAATAATGGGATTAGCGTGGGGCGGCTGGTTGACGGTGATAACGAAAATTGATTTCACCCTACGCGTCCCCCTCGGCCACCCTACGGGCACGGGGATGCTCCATTCGAGCGCGTTGACGTTCATGGGACGCTGCGCAAAACCAGCGACACGCCTCTCTCCCACCGACACACCCCGGCGAGACTCCAATACCCACACGTGCCCGGTGGAACACCGGTTTTAACCCATTCAAGAAGTGATTTAACTCCGTTAACGGAAATCAATTGCATTCTCGCATTCCGCGGAACCAAAGTTACAGAGAGACACCAGGCCGTTGTAAAATTGCTGCACGAGTCTGGACAAAAACGATTGTTCGTCAGGAGAGAATTTTAAATTCCAAAAATCCGAAAGAGATATTAAAAGTCTGAAGCGCGACATTTAAAGAGCACGCGAGAAAAGACATAACACTTTTTCAACATTTCAACAACGGCTTTCAGGATTCCGGATTATCTGAGACACGATTTTGTATAATTTATATATTGTATATTAATTATGAAAACAGTTTGTGAATTATTTTTACAAAAGTATGCTCACGGATGCGTCAGTGGTAATTACAAATTCAATAATTCTTGAATTAGTAGCAGCAACGTTGCGCGAATAGTGAGCCATTAGAAAGACAGCGTCTAAAGGAAAATAAGCAGCCACTCTTGTGCAAAATTTTCTGACTTTGTTTCAATATAATTGCAGTCTCTAAATCTCATCACGTTTTTATACCTTCGTTATTGTCGCGGTGCTTGCGTGATCGTTGAAAAAGAGTGAATACTTTTTGTATTCAGCAGCAATCTAATATTTAGCTATTGCAACAAGGAGACAATATTCTAAGATGGTTATCTAGCGGCGACACTCATATACAAGTGAAAGTGCCGCTGAGATTTCGAGCAGAACGCTATTGAAACGAGGAGATGGAGGCTGCGCGAGTGTTCGCCGCTGATAAGGGATGCCCCGCCCTGCAGCCCTCTCGCGGCAGTCACCCTCCCGGGTCCTCGCGATCGTAGAATTGCAGGGTCAAGTTGTTGGAGGCCCCCGGCAACGGCGTAAGATATTAATCTCGGGGATTAAACGGACAAATCGACGGAAGATTAATTTTTAAGGTGCCGTAAAGTGGAAAGGATTACCTCGACGCTTAATTAACAGTTACGCTACGTCGTTCTGTAATTAATCTTCGCACTCTTTACGGGTTCCGCCGTGTCTCGCTATGTCGAGTCGGGAGAGAAATACGTTGGAGAATTGCAATTGTCGGAATATTTCACTGAGAAAGATGTCCGATTAAAAATATAATCGGATAATCCAATTACACAATAACAAACGGATATATCCAATAAGATTGTACTAGGGGCAGTCAAATGAAAACGAGACAGATGGAAAAAAAGTAACTACACTGTGTATTATTTCAAAAGTAATCGCCATAACTGGTAATACATTTATCCCACTGTGGGACAAGACGGTCAATGTCTTCATGGAAAAATGTTTGTGGTTGCCGACGGACTCATGATTGTATCCAGGCGTGCACCTCTGCATCCGAAGCAAATCGACGGCCACGAATGTCTTTCTTCAGGGCTCCAAAGATATGGAAGTCGCATGGAGAGAGATCGGGACTGTATGGAGGATGTGTAAGGGCTTCCCAGCGAAACTTCTGCAGCGTAGTCGAAACAACCCCGGCAACATGTGGGCGGGCATTGTCATGCAACAGAATGATGCCGTCCGTCAACATTCCTGGGCGTTTGGACTTGATGGCGCGCTTCAATTTCGCTGGGAAGCCCTTACA